TTTGCCCCAAGCCAGTTTGTGGGTTTGGTATCTGTGCTGATCCAGGCGTTTTATTTTATGGACAGTATCTGCTCTATAAAAAACATTTGGCTCCTTTAAAAAAAAAGGGGAAACACAACTGTTTCTGAATATTGATTACACGGTCTATAGATGTAACATTGTAATTATGTTTGATGAACTTAAATAGATCCAAACATTACTCATACGCTCAGTGACTTTGGGTGTATCAGTTCATGACTGGCAGACATTTAGTTCCAGTCTGTTGAAGTAAAATAGACTCTAGGACGGCATCCAAGCCATTGTCACAGTTCAGAGGAGTTTAACAGGGAGGATCCTGACACACGCAATCTGGATAAGATTATGAGTCTCCAAGACCACCAGTCTGTTTGACACCAGATAAATTGAAAACATGCACACACATACACAAACACACAAAATCAATCTGTCTTTTATTAGTAAAACAGTGAGTGTAGTGTCTCCTGCACTGTCTGCCTCTCTGGCTGCAACAGTGACTGAGGTTTAGTTGAATGTCTAAACAAAAAGGACATTTCGCCCCAAAAAAAGAGAAAAGATTTAAAAGATTAAATCACTGCTGTCTCATGTCGGTATTTTGTTTTTGTCTTGTTAACTCAATTTTTTCTTTACAAATTCTTCTTAGTAGAACAACATTGTTGTTTTACATCGAACAGCGCTCTGCGTTTTCTTAGGATCAGGATCAGATTACTGGTTTTACAATTGAAGACCATGATATTGGAGGATGGGGACAATTGCTCCAGTTGTCAGATTATACGTAAAACAATCAAACAGAATCAGTTGAATGCAATTTTTGTGAATAGAACAGGAGAGTAGAATGTTTTACCTTTTGAAATCATAATAAAATTCAACCAATTTTCTTGTTAAAATGACTCATTTTAATTCTGTCCAGTCATGACAGTCATGAAATGGTAACATTTGTGAACACATGTTTGTTTTTTCCTGAAATACTTGCAGAACAGTGTTGTGGAAACTGCAGTGACTTTCGCAGCTTAATAAATGAATAACGTACTGGCTTTAAATTGTGGATTAGCTCACTCTACGCACTGAGCTATTGCTCATATAACTGAGTCAACATCCTACAAATATAGAATTGTTCGGCAACATCAACCATGCATGTATTGAGGAAGTGGATCACATGATTGATCGCAGAGGCAAAGTCGTTTCCAGCGGCAATACTGTCGCACCATTTTCACTTTGAAAGAGCAGCGACCAGTGAGGAAACACCAACACTCTACCAGCCAATGATGTAACTTCATCAGTCAGCAGCTTCAGTGACAGACTCGAGCAGGCCTCGGTTTGCAGCGGCCCATCCAGAAATGCCACATGCAGTACCATCTGACAGATATACACACAGGCCTACATTAAAGCACATACTGCACATCTAAACACGGATATTAATATGTAACTAACCACTTACTTATATTTGTTATTATCATCTCAGGAGAATCATGCGATTGCTTGTATGCGATTGCTTGCATGTGTTTGCGTGCGTCTGTGAGTGAGTATGCACCTCTGTGTCTGTATATTGTGATTTTGATATTATATTTTATGATTTTATATGTAAACTGTATATTGTATTTCAGCTAACTCACTGATCAGTTTCCATTTAGAATTTTGAATAAATCACTTCTCAAATACGTCACCCCTTGAGTCTTGCACTCTATGGGTGTAATATTTGCACCAGGACGGTTTCCACACACATGTTCATACAAGTTATTGTTCATTATGGGCTTCCTGGCTAATTCCTGGCATGGAAAGGAAGTGACCACTTTTTGAATACAAATGCCAGCTGTGTACATGCACACATACATACACACACACACACACACACACACACACGCACACAAAGGATACACACCCACAAACCATTCCCACACGCACGCTCACCAAGCAAAGAGGAAGTGGTGTTTTCTCATTTGATCTTGCACACGCAATCTTCGTCTCTCATACAGTCTCTCAAACCACAAGCATAATACACACGCACACCGGCTTTCACACACCAATCTGTCTTTTTTTTCTCTGACACCCTCGTGCATTATTTTTCTTTTTGCACACTTGCAAGCATAAATGCACACAGCCATGACCTAAGCCCATGGCACTGACGCTCAGTTTGTTTGATCTTCTAGAAAAGAAGGTAGCTCTGGCAAAGCCTCACTAAAAATATGTCGCATGCAACTTTAGCCCCACTCTGTCAACAGCCATATCGGGTGTTTCATGTCCCTGACAATTACATTTTTCACTGCCAGTGTTTGATGACAAGGCCAGTCACACAGCTGTCATTGTCACACTTTGTGACAAAGCTTTGCATAACCACAGTGCCCCTCATATACTATTAAAAGAGTTCAGACATTGTTTGTATTTAGAACTGTAATACAACCAATGTCTCATATCAGACACATTTTCAGGGTGTATGAGTGTTTCAAGCTTCTTATTAAACCCTGTGTAGAAGCTTGGTGTGACTGTCCTTCCTGTTTAAATCATGAAGAAGTCAGCACTTCACTGCCCCTTTTAGACTTTGAATCAGAGACAGGCCTTAGGATCTACTTGGAGTTTTTTGGAGTATCTTAAATGGCCAAATACCTAATGTTGTCATTACTGTGTGTGAGAAAGAACACGCACACCTAAACTGGTGTGTCAATGTATCCTTTGTCTTCCTCTTTGATTTTGAAGCTGGCTGCCGCCCTGGAAGAGCAGAGAACCCAGAATGCATTGCACCTGTGGGAGCAGATGGAGGAGTCCCGCAGGGAGGTGGAGTTAGAGCGGACAATTCACAGGGAGAAGAACCAACTGCTGCTACTACAATACCAGCGGGACAGCACACAGCTTCAGGAGAAGGTGCATACATGTTAATTGTAAATGAAAATAAAAATGACAGTGAACACTACACAATATTACATTGCAGTAATATATCATTGACATGCACTTGTAACAGGCAGCTTCTATTTTTTATGTTTAGAATATAAAGCTTCTTTAATTAAAAGTCAGTTTTTGTTTTTCTTTCTATGCCCTCATCTCCAGCTTTCCTGTCCTGTCTCCTTTCTTCACTTCTTTCAATCACCATATTTTGAGAAGAAATCAAAAAAGATGACATGAAGATAGATTATCCTGTGGTTGCAGAGCCTATGACAGACTAGTCATAGGCTCTAGTCAGGTTATTGACTTTTTTAACTTTTTATTTTTCTTGCCTTCACCTTCTTTATCCATTTCCTCTCGGTGACTTTCTACCTTATAGGAATTTAAGACCAGGATTTTTCATTTTGTTTTTGCGTGTAATGCTTGTCTGATGAGCCTATGCTATTGTCTGTATTTCTGTTTATGTTTCATATGTGTCATTAATTCCCTTACATGCCTTCTGGATTATTGGAAACAACATTATGAACACACGCTCTACAGACTAGTGACACACACACACACACACACGCATGCATGCAGACAGTGTGAATGACCCTGTGGTTAGTCTTTGTAAGTACTGAGCGGATAAAGACGGAAGAAAGACAGCATCAAATCTAGACAGTGGGGGTGAGACAACAGAAAACAATGACACATTAGGTGAGCTGGCTTCCTATTGTTACCACACACTGAAATAAATACCTGCCCACAGCACAGCTTATAGTATGAGTAACAACCAAAACACGAGGACGTTTCAATATACCTACATTTACTTATATGACATGTAGTGACAGTTGATGAATTTCCGTAGTGTAGTAAAACCGAAAATACCCCCTTAAGCTTCCACTGTGCCTGGCACTGCACATTCCCCATCTACCCACTTCCTGTGCAAAATCTAAACTGGGTAACAGAAAACATGTTGCATCCAGCAAATGGCACAGAACCTATTAACATTCATGTCAGCTTGATTTCCATGTAATCTTTGCTGCAGATTTGGGTGAGTCAGTGTAAGAGCAGAATGCTGAAAAGCATCATTTCTTTTGGTATTTGAGATAATCACATATGCACATACATACGATGCATGAAATTCATGAATTAATGAGCAAAGAGCAAATCCAAAAACGTTGGTTTCTTTGATGTTTATATCCATTTGACAAAACATATTAACAGTTAAATAGTCGTAATTCAATGAAAATGTAAAGATCCACAAATTGGAATCCACTGTTTATTCTTCTCCAGCTGGAGGAGAGAGAGCAGGTGCTACGAGGACTGCAAGACAAGCTGCAGGAAGAGAGGAGAAGCAGGGTGGAGGAGAGGAGGAGGAGGAGTGAGGAGGAGCTGCAGCGCTCCCAACAGCAAGAGGCCCTACAGCTGAGCCAAGCTAAGGCTGGACTACAGCTGGTGACTGAGAGGAATGCTGAACTTCAAGAAGAGGTGTGTGTTATTGTCTGTGCATGTGTGTTACCAATGTTTCTCCATTGTGTGGCGTTCAATTGTCCACAAGAATAAGAAATACAGAAAATAATGTAAAAACAAAATGAGATTTGATTTATAATATTCTATTGGTGTGTTTCTGTGCCAATTCTATTCAAACAGATTTGGATTACATTTAGTCAGTGTGTGTTGTTGTGAGTGTGGTCACAGCAAAAGGAAGTGGGTGAGCATGCATACAGTCACATACACAAACAAACACAATCCCACACAAGCAAACACTTGCCTTCCAGCTCAACTTTAAATCTAATTTCTCTTAGAATGTACCTTGTATGTCTAAAGGCGCAAGTTCCGGGTAACATTTCGATTGCCTCTCAACAGCAAGCTAACCGCGCAAACAGTGTAAACTACGGCAAAAGTGCTGACAGAGCCAACAGTGTTGACTGTCAGCTGTCAGCCCAACACCACATACATTTGCGCGTGGGTAAGAGCAAATGTTATGTAGAAAACTTAAACAATCCCAGTTGAATTATAAACGACGGGGCAAAGATCCCACTGAATAATTTATTTTGCATTTCATCCTTAACAGTTGTTCGTATCATGGTGCACAAAAGTGACTATACTGTCCATTGTACGCAACAACAGAGGATTCATTGAAGGCTGCGAACACTGAGTCTTTCTGTTAATTTATATAGGATAGGATGCTTCGTCGCAGGTGGATGATTCGGTAATATACAAGGCAATCAATATCAGAGAAAACCCATCAATAAAAGCATCCATCCGAAGTCTAGAAAGGTCACTAAGTCAATTCACTGCCTCCTATTCTCTTCTCAGCACTTCTTCATCGCCTCCTTTCCTTCTTCTCCACCTCACTCTCTCATTCAGCTCAGCTTTGTCCTGCTGCAGTCAGACAGCCCTCTAACAGCCAACTAAGCCACTGTCTCTTTAACCGCCTCCCTCTCAGACTGCCTGTCCAGATAGGTTCAGCCGGTTCAAGGTGCCCTGATGCCAATTTCACAGCTGACATGCTCATTTATGTCATTCATGGACCTTCAGCACAGCAGCTCCTTCCCCCAACCACCCTTTTCTTTCTGTTCTTTCTCATCTAATTTAAAGGGGCCATTTTTACTGTGCTGTGTCTGTAGTTTTAGAGCAGATCAATCAGTATAATCCCTTTTAGATGACCTTTGATTTTTATTTCTTTTTTCCTTTCTTTCCAGCCTTTTAACACCGTCCTTCAGTTCTGTCTCTAATGATCCCTCTCAGTTCTTATCTAATTCAAACCCTAGCTTCAATTATCCTGTTCTTTAGAATAGTTGTATTGATCTTTGGATGTTTGTATGTGTGTGTTGGTTAGAGATAATCAGGTTTTGATCATGACCTTGTGATATCGCTCTGTTGCCCAGATACCGTTGCACTGTTGAGCCATTTTCATCATGAAGTGTCAGAGCATGTGTGTGACCTTTTAACCAGTCAATTTAAAAGATGCATCACTGAAAAAGTCATTTCAGGACAGCAATCAGACCTGAGAGTCTATTTAATTTTCACAAAAACTGAACAAAAAAAACAAACAAACAAAAATCAGAACTACTTTTAAGCATTTAAAGACATATTTAACAATTTTTTTTCCACACTTTTCTATAAACTTTGTATCTCATTGGGCGCCTCTACCAACAAATGCTGAACCTGATGACCTTATGTGGCTCCTATTTCTAGTCGTATCCAATAAATCAGCACACCAGTCACCACTAATGCAGAATTTCAACTGCATGGTACGACTCGACGACTCACTTTTGGTACCAGGTACTTTTCTCGTTCGTTTTCCACTGCAGATAGTGAATTACAAAAATAGCTGCCGCAATTGAAGGTAGCTTGGCTATTTAAGAATGGCGGGTTTGTGCAGGGTGTCCAGTGTTGCCCGAGTGATGATTCTATTGATGATTCTCTCTGACCATTCAGTGGTCTGCAGTGTTTTAATCCACCTGTTAGTATCGGCTCAGCTTGCTGGGAACCTAGACCTGAGGTGGTCAACCAGGTATCAGGTATCATAACTGTTGCCATTAGAAAACCAAAAAAGAACAATCCAAAGCGAGTCGTGCCGTATTATGCTGTACAATCTTTAACAATACTTCCCATAATTACGTCTGCCAAGGACTGTTTTCATTTTGTTTTTTTGTCTGTTGGTTAGCGGGATTACAGACCCGATTTCCATGAAACTTGGTGAAAGGGTGTAGGTGGCCAAAGAAACAACCCATTCAATTATGGAGCAGATTTGCCTTGGCTCTCCAAGTGCTCTTCTAGTTCATCAATGCAGTTATGATTGAAAAGCCAAGTCCTGTGTCTCTTCCTTAGAGGAATACATGTGTGTGAATGTGTTTTTTCAGGCCTACCAGTGACTTTATTTACAAAAAAAGTGTATGTTATGTTTAAATGATTATTTGCACATTTGTTTTTTGTTTTTTGAACTCACTGCTACTGTGTTTTGTTCCAAACTTTTACAATCTATCTCTCCAGCGCAAACATTATCTCCAAAAAAAGTTTACTGATAATATTGTCATTCAATGGCTGATACAGTATGGAGATGTGGTTAGAAATTAGTAAAGCTTCGGTGTGTAATTGTGCACATGGGCACACACAAGAACACACACCCAAACACATTCTGGTGGTGCCCCATTCAATCCCTCCCCTCCCTCCCTCTGCTTTGTATTTTCTGTCCACTCCCTCCCACACTCTTTCACTTTGTCTTTCTTTCTTTATTTTGTTTCTCTCTCTCTCTGTCTCTGTCTCCCCCTGCCTGTCTTGTCTCCCTCCCCCTCCCCTCCCTATCTGGCCTGATTGCAGTTGGACCAGGACAAGAGGAAAAGGTCACTGTGTCTGGGGGAAAAGACGCCTGACCTGTAACCTCTCACTGTGGTCACACAACACACGTGTGTGCGTGCGTGTGTGTGTTGCCGCTGGAATATGGTTGTTAGATTAAAAGCAAGGGCTCTGTGGGCCTGCATGTGACTTCCATCTAATAGCCCTGTAATCCTGCTCTCACTAGGAGCCCCTAATGATGGCTGTCTCTCTCTCTACCGCTAGACTGGCATGCAAGACATCAAACGCATGCACACACGCAGGATGTAACACATGCCGGCATATAAACAGAGAGGAAGAAGACTCACACTACAAGTCTTGCATACACACAGAGGAAGGAAGTGGCCAAACACGTATGTGCAAGCTGTCACACTGACAGTAATTGCAGACAATGGCATAAGGCGTGACACACCGCACATGGATATTGAGGCATATAGGCACCTACTAACACATACGCATGTGTTGACAATTATAGACCCATAAAAAGAAAACCATACCCAAAGTATGATCGTAAAAAGAGAGTATACACACAATTAATACTGGTAGGAAATGCATGTAAAGTGATGAGAAAGCTATGAGTGGCCTTGCGAGAGCAGCATTCATTTTATTTATTTTTTAAACTTTGGATCAGGCCTTGAAGTCAGCAGCTTTCCTTTTTCTATCCGGCTGTCATATAACAAGAGCTGTAGTTTGTTTGAATCCGATTCACTGACAGAGGCTCTATTTCTCAGTAGACCTGAAGATGTGTATATTGTTTTGTGATTCTGGAAAGAAATGCACACATATTGTTTATGCGTCATGAATATGCTTATTTCCCAAAAGTTATACATTTTTGGTTTGAAACTTAAATACTACAGACTAAATGACTTTCCTAAATACTACTCTCTCTCTCTCTTCCCAACCTCCAGGTGGCGTTACTCCAGGAGACAGTAAGAAGGGAGTGTGAGGAGAGGGAGGAGCTGACTGCTGCTCTGTCTCAAGCACAAGGGGAGCTTCTTGGCCTGCGATCCCCAGCATCTCATCAGGGCTCCTCCAGGTCTCCTCCAAACCCCACGGAGAGACAAACACCCCCAGTGAACAAGCATTTCCATCTACATAGTCAAACCCGGGTAACTCTTACTCGCTCTTTCAACTCCCCAAACACACTGCGACCCTCCCCTCCCTTTACTGACAAAGACAGAGGCCAGGGCACAGATGGAGGAGGAGTGGGGAGGAGTTTAGAGTCTCGGAATCGAGATGAAAAAAGACAAGATGGGACACTGCCCAGACTGAAAGCCAGCAGCACAGTGAGCGAGGTCAAACGTAAGGTCCGTTTAGCGATGGAGAGGAAGGAGAGACTGTAATACAATCAGAATGAAGGAGCATAAATGTATTACAAAACAAGTAGTGCAGCGGTTCAAAATGAAACACGATTTCAGTGTTGTTTTGAAATATTTTTTTATAGTATTTCAATATTAATCATATTATTTTAAGTGTTTTATTGTTCCCTTAGAGTTAATAATACACAGAATTTAGTCAATTATCCCTATAATTGTCTACTCTAAAACTCACAACACAAACTTTATGCACAAAACACAACTACTGAGTTCTGCTCGAACCGCAGTAATCTCCCCAGACACACACTCTCTGACAGACATGCACTTGTTTTCTCACAACCCAACTCACGCAGTCTCAGTGGCACGCACAGGATAAACACACACACACACACACACACACACACACGCAAACATGCAAACACACACACAGCCTGTCACAAGGGCAGAGCTGAAGGAGCATGACAGCGTGTCCCTTGCCACCCGTGGACACAAAGAAAAAGCAGGCAAACACAAAAGAAACTGTAAGGCAAGCACCCCCAGACACACATGCACACACACGAATTACCCAGCCCTCACCAATCACGCATTGTGTGTTATTGACATCATTCACTCCGTGCAAGGTCTTTCCATCCCTCCCCCCCTCTCTTCCTCTCCCTCTACATTTGGGATGAATTGGCATGATGGGAGAAATGTGTGAAGTGTGTGTGGCATGGAACTCATTTCCCCGCTTACTGGCACACATGGAAAGCATTTAGTTTGACTTCCTCGTGTCCCTCGCTTCCAACCCATCTGTGAGACAATGCACATGCACGTCGTTCACACAGAAAGGTGGGATGATAATGATTTTATCCTGCCAAGGTTTCCTCTGTTTGCCAAAACACACACATATGGTTTATCTGCTTAGGGTCTCGGTCCGTGGGGAGAGGACGTTCTGAAATATGTAACAATGAACATTCTGTTTCATTAAAAGCTAATTTTTTACCTCCTCTGTTTTTGTCACGATGGTTAAAATGGAACATTTCCTACTACACATGACAAAGTGGTTCATGTTTTTTTCTGAAGTTGACTGTCATGAAGTCTGAATATAGAAATGTACTTTGTTTGCATAAGATATTTAATAAGATTTCCTAAGAAATCTTCCTCCACAATCAACACTCCCTAGCTGCCCCTTTATGAAAAACAGCAATAAATATTCCTTTCCTTTTGTGCTCTGCCGCTGACTCTTTGTTGCCTTCCTGTGGCCTTGTGTGTGTTTACTCATTGCATGAGACTTTGCCACGTGTGTGTGTGTGTGTGTGTGTGTGTGTGTGTGTGTGTGTGTGTCTTCAGTGAGTGATTGTTTCCATCCTCGCCACCATCACTCAGTTTTTTCAATCAAGTAATCCCACTGAAGGACATTGATTATACGGTAATCATCACAATGTGGTGTGTGTGTGTGTGTGTGTGTGTGTGTGTGTGTGTGTGTGTGTGTG